TTTTCTCTTCTTTTGATAAAATCGACTAAAAAAAGTTGAAGACCAATAATCCGAGTTCTAAATCTCTTAAATTGATCCTTTAGTGGAGAGCGACAACAACAAAAACAACAAGGAAGTTGTGTGAAAACGAATTTTATTCAGGAATAACATATGGATGTTACTTGGATTAGCGAATTTGAAAAAATGCACAGGGAAGGTCACCAGCGTTTGAACTGAGACAGCTCACTGACGGCTTCATAATCTTTTTGTTTTGAATTCAACGGATGACCTAATACAACGACACTGGTGTTGTTCTAAGATGTTGTAAAGTCACGTGTGAACACTGTTTCTGTTTCAGTTTATCACTGATTAAGGTAAACAAATTTACAGCGGAATTCAAAGGTACGAGTCTGAACATGCTGACTTTGTTCTGTAGGAAAGTCGAAAAGACAAATGAGGAGCACTGGTTCAATGGTAGAACTACACGTTGAAAACAGAAGTAAACTAGTGGAGCAAACATGGAAGGATAATTGACCTAGTTTACTACACACATGAGGAAATGTGAGACGATCGGTATAACTGATTTCAGTGGTGACCACAGTGCGTAAAATGAGGAATGAATGAGAATCAATCGTTGAAGGGTCATAGGTCATCATAAAAGACTTTGCGGAACTGAAGATGAGTGCATCACATTTGCTTGTATTGATGCAACTACCGAAATCGAGAGAACGTAATTGTACATAAGGGAGAGAGTTCAAAAGCGAAGTTAAATAGAGGAATTTGAAAACAGTTGAACTTGGAACTGATTCATTCAAGTAACTGAAATTAATACAAGTGGATTCACGGACGAATCATTTTGTGGTTAAACACAAAAGGAAAACAAAAGCTCCTTGAAATACTGCAGAATGAAACACTAACGACTGAAATGATTTCAGCCTGGTATTGTATGCTCTTTCATAGGAAAAGTTTCGTACCCATGTCTTTATATAATGAGGCAATTACAAATTCTCTAACTTTCTGAGAACATGGGGTTTAAGATTGGAGCCAAAATCAAGCTTAAATCAAGAAAACTGCAACGCACATATTTCAAGGCATTGTTCATCTGTTTAGTGATGCGATAATAAATGAAAGAGGTAACACAAAGAGCATCTGTCAAATTTGTATCAGTTTCAAGGGAAGAAGTGAAACATGTTCACATGCGTTCACACAATCTAGCACGGCGTAACCCATCAGTTGTGGGCCTGAAAACTATAAAGCAATAGATTGCAATCGTTTTCAAATCATATTGGAATTCGTGGATTTGAGAACCAAGATGATAACATCTCATCTATTACAATCAGAAATGCATAACTGGTCAGGAACATTTACATAAAATGAATTATCACAATAGCTGGAGTTCATGCACCAGGTTTCAACAAATCTGAGGAAAGAATGCTGGACCGATTCGGAGAAGTTGAATGTAGTAATTTTACACAATGACTCTTGGGAAACATGCACTACATTTTCTTCATTTCCTGGGTAATTCCTCTGGCAGGATTACTGGAAGTAGCAACAACACCGGCAAAATCTATATCCTTTTACTCTATGTTCCATTCACTTGATCTATGTGGACAATGACGATATACTATATAACAGTATTTATATGTATTAAGTATCTAGNTAAGGAAATATGATAAAAATCACTAATCGCACTCAGATTTCTGGTGGTTCCCTTGTTTAGTGGGGCCGATTTATCCTTACTGACTACGGTAGAAAAGACCCGTTCGTTATGCATATGTAGATTGCCGAAAATTAGTTTACAAAAGAATCAGTAGGAAGGGTAGAGCATTTGACTGGAACTCTTCCTTAGTACTCAATAAAATTATAGCAATAACAGATTTGTCTCTCATCAACACAAAAAGACATATGTGGGCAGAATGTCTTGTGTTGATGATATGGATAAAGGGATAGTGACGTCTCACAGATTTGAATCAGTGTAAGAAGTGTAAGGAGTAGGAAATTGCATTACCAATCGATGCACAAGTAATCCTTCATCTTCTGTCCATATAGGTCACCAAAGTGTAGTGATATGTCGAATAAATCCATTAGGCAATTAGTAGTAGTATAGGTCTAATGTTCATTTATAATGGCCCATCTATTTTGCTGAAAGTAGAGCCGAAAAAGCCCAGATAAAAGGTAAAGCCGTTGACTGCATCATTTATTTGTCAGCTCATTGGTCTCAGTGAAAGATTACGGGAAATATCCTAGACGAAACCTATGACAAGAAATACCAGTGGACGATGAAAATGGGGATTAATGCACAGTTAGCATCAGTTGCAAACTGCGTGTCTTCCATTTGTGATTGGTGCATTTTGCGTTTCGTAACCTCGTTATCTGATCAGCATCAACAGTCGCCAATTGCGTTGTCTGCATGCAGTGAGCTGACAATTAGTAGGCAAAGTTTATATATAGAAAGGTATTTAAATTGTGCAGAACATAGAGAGTGGTCTAGAAGCAATGCATAATGCATATGTTTACTAAAATTGTGTTAACTGTTCGAATCATTTTGTCATTTTTCACTTTCTGTGATTCACAGGACACACAAAATATACTACAAGTTGGTGAGTTTTAGAGCGTCCGTGTGTATGACGGCAACTACAACTGTCTTATTTTCAAACTCCGTTGATTCATCTAGAGTATACTGAAATCAATTAATTCTGTTGGCATGTGTATTGACGCTTATCCGTTCGAGGATTTAGGTACAGACTTTAAAACGCTCTGACAGTTTTTACCCTGTGTTCGGTGCTAAAAACTGTTCACGATAATCACCGATGTTTTTTCTTCTTGAAGTCTATAAAGAGATAAGCTAATATTTAAAAAATATTTATACTTATTCAGTATGCAAGTCAATTGATATATCATGAATGCAGTTCCATGGGTCAACAATGTGCAGGCAAATATGTTGCGTTAAAGCAAGCCAGGTATCTTCAGATGGAGTGAAATCGGCTGATTATGCAAAGAAAAAGTTCTGGATTTACAGCCTATAGAAAAGAGAGTAAGTTAATCAAGGCAAAACAGACACGCCATGCAGAGTTAAGGTACCTATTATCTGTAAGAGGTTTAAGTATAATACACAAGTAACTTTTTATATTTTCTAGAATAAAACGGGTTAATTTATATACCTGTTCATGATCCGCGGGAAGGGAAAACTAAAAAGCCGGAAATGCATTCCATGGTCGCAGATGTGACTCGAAAACCGAGATTATCAGTGATGTAGAGAGGAACTTTCTGTTAGGAAATAATAAATGGCACACGAATCTAGAGAATACCAAGTATCATGTTACATTCTGATAAAATAATAAAGGAAAACGAGCTAGCGGGTGTTAGTTGCGACTAACAAATGATAGGAAATTGGTTTCTGCACACTCCTAAGTACATAGCGATATGTAGTCGTGCGCTTTGGAGAAGTGTTTTATAAGGAGCTATGCATAAGAAAATTACGGTGTATGGCATTCATTGAATGAATCAAAGTTATGAGTAAGCAAGTAGAATCTGTGAGTTGTCCAGTAAACAGATTATTATTACGAAATCTTATTTAATACAATTTTTCCGGGTGGGGAAAGATTTTCATTTGGTTATTCAGTAGCGTTGTTATTATGGATAATAAATTAGTTGAAATATTGCCTCATAACAAAATACCGAGATGGCGAGGGTTTAGGGAAATAATTTGGGATAAGTCTTCAGTCACTCCTATTAGAATATATTGCCTTTTTATACTTGATAAAGTTTGTGAACTTCATGCTGAGATTATTTAATTTTGGCAACCAAGGCCAGGAACGTACAATTGACAACTATGCAGCCTAGAATCTACGTATATCGAAGTAGACAAGAGATAACTTATTGTCCATACCTAAAGCATTATTAGAGGTGATAAATGTAAGGAAACGCAATTTGATCAGAAGGAAAATATTTTAATGGATCACAATCGGCCGGTACTGTATAGATACAAACGATTGAGGGAATTTCAGTTAGCTCCAATGCAGGGATAACACCTTTGGGCAGTCCTGGAGTCCTAAGACAAAACTACTTTACTCACAGTTTTTATAGTTTGAACAGGAATCAACTCACCAAGAAAGATTACAATGCTTTCCGCCAATGTGTCTGATAGACATTCGATTTGAGGAAGGAAGTCAAATGTGCAGTTTAATGTGAACGACGGTAATAAACAGCCATTGCTGGAGATGAATGGGTGGTGGATCATGTTGAATAAATATAAAACATGTCGGTGGAGACAGTCTGAGTATGGACTTGATGTGGGCTCAGTGGATATAAAATGCCAGTGACTTCACTTCACCTGTTCGCCGAGCTTGGCAATTTGTTTGCAAACGTTTCATCACCAGTCGAGGTGACATCATCAGTGTTTGCGAAGTGGCCACCTCACAAGCACTGATGATGTCACCTCAGCTGGTAATGAAACGTTTGCAAACAAATTGCCAAGCTCGGTGAACAGGCGAAATGGGGTTCAGTTCACCCGAGCTACGAGAACCAATTTTCAACATTTTGTCAACATGCCAATGATTCTCGGCGAGAATAGTGCAGCTGCGCACTGGATTTAGTTTGTATTACCTCACTGACATTGCACAATGAGATATCTTAGAATTGTTTGAGAACCTACTGTCTTTTGAACTTCAATCCATCGACTAGTCATCGACGATCTGGTTGCAAGGTAGGGGGAAAAGAATAGATGGAAATCCACTTCCTACCCAGCAGAGATAATCCCATAAACGAAATCAGGGTTCAAAATCGTTGTTTGCAAAAGATTGATCGCCATTACTAAACAATTTTTGACTGTCAATATTTTTTCATGAATACCAAACACTACTGTTAAGAAAAACATAAAGATACGTATTGTTTTCTCAGGTATATTGATTGAAGGTGCGCCATCATCGAACTATGGGAATCTGCATGTGATAATAAACGAATTGCGCTCTAAAATACTGCAAACCGTTTACGTTTCACTGGGATCCCGCTATGCGTACACTATGCCAACTTTTCAGTTTGACATTCAACGTTTTAGTCTGAAAGCAGGTAAGTGGTCCGAGTTTACTAGTAGAATAAACAACTCCTAGTATGAATACCTTTTTGTTTTATTGGATTAACTTTTATTGACAAATCACTGATTGATTATCAGGGATCTATAAGCACATGGTTATAAAGGTTTGGGGATGAACTATTACTCAGACAATTGCATATTGCTGTCCTGAATTGTTCCTTGAGCAGTTATGCTTACATTATGCTCGGATAGAAACGCTTGTTTCTGTTGCAGAAAGAGACACAAAACATATATATATAATAGAGAAATTAATTAATTCGAACACGGTAGGCTGCTGCTTAGTTTTCACATGGTGTTTATGGATAAGGATATGGGCCAGATAAAGAAAGGAGTACTTTTTCCAAATGCTGGGTTAATTTGTATTTGAATGGACTTTTGTGTGAACAGATGTCGGCATTTCAGTCAAAAATTACACATCTCTTTAAAAGAAGGAAATAATGAGTTAAACAACTAACCTCTAAGGTTGTTGAGAAATTCAGAGGAAACGCTCTGTCGTTTTACAGGGATCTGGCGAGATAGGGAACTGAGGAATTTCTGTAGAGGTTAATACCAGAGAATATTAATCGATAAAAATAGTGGTGTAAATCCGTGAGAGTACTTAAGTAGAAGTAATTTCGATCTGGTATATCGACGGACAAAGATCATAATAATGACAAAATCCTTCAATTTCGATGAAATGGGACTAAACAGGATTGTAGCGCTGTCAGTCAAAGGGAGCGCGTGATGACTGAAGTGGTCAAAGTCGTCCAGCTAGACAGGTGATAATAAGAGAGAGAGGTATAATCAAGAACAAACAAGACGTGAGCAGTCAACGAGGAGCAAGTCACCAGAGATAATGTGTTCAACCAAGGACAGGGCGTTTGGAACACTCAATTCCAGATTACTGGGGTGTGTATCAGACGAACAATTAAGAAATGTAGCATTCAGTTGTTCCATATTTGTAGAAGAACTAGAAATCGATTAATTTAATCTGTAAAACAAGAGTCACTCGTCCTAAACATCTACAATCCAAGAGTTTCATCACACCGTTGATCGAAAACGCTGGTCGTTTTATTTTGACCCTCCTGCCACTTTTCAATACACATTGATTTTCACTAGGAAGACGTTTGAGAAAGTGTATTGATATTCTACCATTTTAAGAGATTACGGTTATAACAGGAGAACACCTGTCGAAAGCGCGGTTTCAAACGTCTATTAGAAATATTATTTTGAACAACCAATGTGTTTTTCAAGAGAAAAACAGCCACCAACTACTGTAAGATGCTCTTTTATTAGACCAGCAATGTCTGGGGAAAGATCTTGCTGACGGGACATGCTGTGTTCAGATCTACCGAAAGAAGAATCCTGTGAGTAACTTTTTGGTGTGACCGAGACAAGGTAGAGGAGATATATGTTTGGTAGAGAACGTGTGAGCTTGATAAGTGATTATGTGATCTGGGGGAGTCAATTTTCTAGTTTATTCTGTTATTTCACTAAGATTTAGGTAGAATAAGTACAGAGCGGTTTGATTGACGGCACCAACTATTAGGTGAAAGCTACCTGCAAGAGATGAAGCAATGAACAGTAGGAAACGCTTATAAAATGTGTCGAAATCTGACAATAATTTTAGAGGCAATGTATAAATTGATTTTAGTGATAAAGAAAAAGAGAAAAACTTGGGGTGACAAAAAAATTGTCAAGCGGTTATTGCCATTTTGTGAATACTTGAAAAGTACTTCGGATAGGTCACACCATTTAAGGTGATGAAGATAACCACACCGCTTCAAATGTCTTTCTAAACCATTGTCTATCCTGTCTGAAGTATACAAAGTACGATATATTTTAGATAGATACTGTTATTTTATTTAGTCGTTAATCTTTATGTTTCCTCAGGTTCGTTTAGTAGTGGTCACTATGGTGTGAACTGATTCAAACAGAGGCGATCATCTACGCGGCATTTAATCCTACCGCTACTGTACGCATTTAATTTCAAACACGTGTTGTACGTATTCTAGCTGTCTCTGTAATAGAATATAACTTCGAAGAAATAATCAATGCATTTGAATGATTCCTTTCCACATCAATGGAAATTCGCTGTAAGATCCCAAATGCTTTACTCTGGTTCGACCGGAGTCCGAGCGCAATCGACTATCCAAAGTTTGTTCTGTGTAGCCTCTAGACCGTTGAGCAACGAGTAGCGAAATGCGGACACCGAAGTCAAGAAGATATTCATTCGCAATGTATACTGTTTATTTCATTAAGGGAGTCAAAGAACAACGTCCCTCAACAATGCTACTCATTCGCTATACAGCAAAAAGTAGGATGCAAGTAAATGGGTAGAGAGCTGATAAAAGGCAAGCAAATAAATTTATGAAGGGGGAACACAAATATCTATTAGATCAAGCAAGGGATTCCGTTCACCAAACGTGAACAATCATGATGGATTCAACCAGAGTGACAATGATCTATTTGCCACAGAGAGAAAATCTGCTCACTAAGCGTGAACAGTGATCGAATCAGCTATGCACTCGCAAAGAGCAAGACAAAGAAGAAGGCCAGAGGGTCAGTGACGAGAGCAGATAGGGACTGTGGAAGTGACACAACGAAGCCACGTAAGTGCAGAGGGCAGTCATTGCTCCAAGGACAATGACACAAGTGTGATCGATAGGTAGACATAAGAAGCAGTCATCAAATAATCATAGACCACAACTGACATGAGGAATCACACAGTGATCAAGGTCAAATTGGGAATGACGGTAGAGAAAGTGTGTACATATGATTAGAAAACGAGTAATTGGAAGAGGGAAAGCAGTAGTCTCCCCTTGAACTTAAATGAGATTTTCTTTAAGCTATCATTTCTACACTGTAATTTTTACTAATTTTGCTTTATCGAGGCGATATTTTCAATCCGATTATCTAATTATTTTTTTTTTTCAATAGCACGCATAGGTCAAAATTGATTTGGAACCGTAAACTGAACGATTTCCGGAATTACCAGTGATGAATCCGAAACAAGTCAAAATGACCGTTGGGACCTCTTTTCTGACAGGAATAATCCTACCTTAGTATGGTCAAATGATTTAATCTGTCTATCCGAATTGCTCTTTTTGTCGATAAGAAAAAACAGTAGGACTTATAACTGAGTTGTGAAGATATCAGCTTTGTGAGCACAATTTCACAACTCAGCGCATGGAGCCTGCGCTGTACAGGACCGAATGCGGTGTCCATGTATGGCCTAAAAGTCCACCAAGGCTACCGATGTTTTAACAAATAAAAATGGTTCTATCCGTGATATGTGCTTTAATGAAATAAGATCCTGGTGCCAGACCTATAGCGTGTATTAGCAAGATGTCGTTCTCCTAGTATGAATAAAAAGAATAATTAACCTCTTCATTAAAATGCGAATCCTCTGGTAAACCTATTGGCCACACACCTAAGTATTGCATATAGAATATTCCAAACTATATTTAGCACTATGCACAATTGTAACGGCTCCGATGCTAATAGGATTCTTCGATGAGGGAAAATTGTTTCCTTTCATTGTCGTAAGATTCCTACCGGATGTATTTGTGAACGCTTTTTAACTTGCGATCTTCTGATTGTTCCACTCTTTGCGCTCTAACAAGTAATAGACATGAGTAGTCGATGTTTTCGTTTTTTGTGTGTTACGCTACAAAAATACAAAAACAATACAATACAAAAGTAAATTCTTACATGCGATGCTGAATGGATGAGAACTTTGACAATCGAATAGCCCTAGCTTGTATAAAAATACTAAGTGATTTCATATGTTTTACTTTACTGTGATGTTACTATGCCACTACTTGAACGGTTTGAAGCAGTAGCTGACCATCCTGAAGAGTTCGTCGAACACCTACAATTGATTGAAAGGGGCAAGTTGTGCCAATTAGGATACGATAATCGCCCGTCTTCCATGAGGGAACTTTTACAACTGAAGTCGGGTTCGTCCAGCTTGGATGCCATCATCCACACGGTTAGCGATAACACATATCATATTCTATCGCATATGAATGCATGACGTCGTGGGAATTATCGATCTCACAAGAAGTGAAACCCACAGCCACGACCATCAAGAGTGTCTGGTGCCTCTTACCAATCGAATGGGCTACTCTAAGCTTACTACTCGAAAATTTCATATTTATTNGAAAACTTTTGTTTCGGAGTTTACTACACAACGCAAAGATAAGTATTGAAAGATACACCGAGATCAAGAATTTATCGTATATTTATCATTAGTAGTTGACTTTCAGACAGCCACTGCCTGTTTCTTATAGAACGGCAATCCATGTTATTGTATCACTGATCAAATAATCTGCACAGATATCTACAGATTGTTGGCTCTATCATAAACGGTGCTGTGTTATCAATTCGAGAGCCACAGAAACCGGGAGGCAGTGGCAAGACAAAATTAAACGTATTGAAATACGTAGTTTCTTTGAAATCTGGGTTGGAGATTTAGGCGTTTACTTTGTTCACAATAAATAATTCTCTAAAGACCATCATTTCATCCCCGTTTTTCTGGAATTTCTTGCCAATGCGAACACACGGAATCATGCAACTTGGTGTCTTATCACAACGTTGGGTTTGTATACAAAGTGGAAATTTTATTAAGTAAAACCTCTTTTTTCAATATAATGAGCCTCAGTCTTGCGTGACACTTTTTGGCGTACTTCCACATGTACTAGATGAAAAGTGTCCCCAAAATATCTCCGTAATTGCGTTGGATAAATTTCACATAGAGCCAGTATACATTGGGATACCGCACTGAATGATTTCGGTAGTCCATTCACACAAGTTACTTATTGAGACATGTAATTAACCAAAACCAGGTGAGTTTCTAAGGCTATCTGAGTTTAAATAGTGGAAAATGGCCGTCTACATTGACTTATGTATGAATGTAAGGGCGATTACCAAATATCTTCACTGATCAAGGATTGCCATCTGTAATCTTTATAATATTCTAGTTATTTTACATCAAAGAAAAAACATATATTAAGAAGGACCTTTTTCAAGCGCTTCAAATTTTCGGATCTGAATGCTAGAGTTCACTGTGCACAAAATTGTTACCTGCAGCAATATAATCTGGTGTAGAAAATTAAGAGCGGCGCCCTGGTTGGATACATCTCATGTCTAGCCGATTAAATGACACTGAAGGCCTAATCGAACAGTGATGTTTGGTGACCAAACGTTCCAATGGGATGATCTCAAAGAACCAACAAGCTTCTTCAGAATAGGAGGCTTGGCGTCATCCGCCAAGCCTTCGTGACTCTAGGATCGTTCGGTTTATTATTTTTGCAGAGAGCACATCACCAAAGATGGGTATTGGAAAAAGGCAATCAACTGAATTTTGCATCGCGGCTCCTAAAAACCTTCTTCTTCCTACAATTTAGGAAATTAACGGGATCCCAAAAAGACAACCCCACAAAGATACTGTGATAAACCTTAACATCTATAAAGATATTTCATTGTATCGATGGGGGCAAATATCACCGGTTAGTCCCCTAACAGGCATGTTTCTTATTACACTTAAAATGTTTGCCGTTTTCTGGAAAGACAAGCCCCTGCACATACAAGGGTATTTGGTGATAATTACGAATTAAAGCTTATTGTCCTTGGGAAATGGCAAAAGCTCGAATTCAAGACTATTTTGAGAATTAGTTTATGGCTGAAGAATTTGTCCCAGTTTGAGGGAATGTATGCAGTTTTATTTATTAATCGAATGTGTATTGCTTGAATAACTGAGTGCACAATTATTATTTTGAATAACTGGCACATATTGTTTGTGATAAAAAGATTTACCTTGGTCAAAGTTCTAATCGGTATGCGAGCCAAAGGTGCATTAAACAATACATACAGTAAATGACATGATTCTATGTATACGCGTTCGCGAGAA